TTTGAATGTTTTGGTCTAATAAGATTTGACTTTTTATCTGATCTGGTCTGACTAAAATAAGAATAAGTAATAAGGAGTAAACAATACGAATAAGAATAAGAATAAGAATAAGAATAAGAATAAGAATAAGAATAAGAATAAGAATAAGAATAAGAATAAGAATAAGAATAAGAATAAGAATAAGAATAAGAATAAGAATAAGAATAAGTGTAACAAAATAGCTTCAAGGGATATGCTTTTTACGTTTTTTTCTCCTACTTTTTCTCTAGCCTTTTTCATTAGCCATTTGTTCTTCGTTATGAACTAATTAAATATTTCAATGTGTACGGTCTATGTAATGTCAAGTGTTAATTATTTAATGTTTTTCCTCCTGCTTTTTTTTCTCCCTTTTCCAATATAGTTGTTCCATTTTTTTTTGGAAAAAGGAAATTTTATTGAAATAAATTAGGAGTACAATGCGAGAAAGGAAAAATAAAATAAAAGTACATGAAAGGAAAAATAAAAGTGCTAAATTAAAGCAAGAGCAGTAAAAAAGACCAAATAGCTGGTTCTCATGCTATGACGCCTTTTATTTTTTTGAGATTTCATAAAAAAATTCAACTACATGTTCAGGTTGTTGGTCGTCAGACAATTTTCTGATGTTACAAAATTCGCTTTGTGGTGAATCGCGGTATTGAATTTGGATTTACTAATTTTTTTTTTCCGGGTATGAAATAGGAGGACGTCAATTGCTCTTGGTGGCTTGTCCTAAGAAGTCATCTGTAAAAGTGAGTCATTTGAGTGATTAAAATCGTCGGATGCATCAGAGTACGCCTGGATCAATGGCAGCAAGGGTTGTTTCCCAGAAGAAAAGACGTGAAATAGAAATGATAATTATAATAGGAAGTGTTGCAAACTAATTTGGACCTAATTAAATGTTTTCATAGTAATGATAATAGAATTTTTGTCAACCAATAAATGAGTAACATGTCAGTAGTTTGTATTCTTGTTTTAGAAATTTAATGAAAACTAGATTCCTTATATGTGTCACAACTATTCTGTAAATGTGCACTTCCCAGAATGCACATTTAAACTCAAATTTTACTATAAATTTGATATATCATTGATTTGTGTTAGAAAAAGTGTTAATAAAATGCATTAAATGGTAATTTTGGGGCAATATTTTGAGGGGGTCCACTTTCGATTTGGGTCGGGTCAAAGTGGTTTCGGATTGTCCATGTTAAGGGCTACAATTCGATACGTGGTACACTCAAAACGGGTAACGGGTGAATGAGAAATTGATTCTCGAAGTACAGTTCACTCGTTGAAATGGAGATCTGGTGGGTTTCTAGTGTGTTAATTTCCCACACCGGAAAACCCAAGGGACTTTGAACCCCTTATAAAGGGAAGCCTCTTTTAAGGAGTTAATATTCCTAAGTGGAAAGGCTCTCTTTGCGCGTGGTTGGGGGGAGGGTGCGAATCAAATCCCGAAACGGAGAAGAAAAATCGCGACTTGCGTGTGCGGGCGACCTGCGGACACGAATGTTGTCCAAAAATCTATCTTCTAAAGATACAATTAATGCCAATGTTCATATGCCTTAATTCCCAACGTTAATATGGACGTTTTCCTGGACGAATCAATGCCAGCATGCTGGACATTGATGTCCAGCGTTCACAACATTAACACACCCAAATCCCTCCCCTATAAAAGGCTGGCAGCATTCTCTTTAGCTCAAAAACACCTCCAGCATTCTGCAAACTTCCTTTGTGTTCTTACTTAGTTCCCGTTCGCCGGAACAGTCGTTTGAGTGCTCAAACGGTTGCTTGTTAGTCACTGTATCCTGGGAAATGATCTTTGGCTAATTTACGCTTCATCTAGTTTCTGTTTTTCTTTAGTCATTTTATTTAATTAATTTTTATCAATTAATTTTATTTGTTTTTCGAAACACACCCAACAATTTAAATTTGCACATCAATTTTTACAATAGTTTTATATATATGCAATTTGGTGTCATATGAAAGATCATAAATGGTTTTTGATATATTTTTTGTATAATGTGGAGTGATGCACCAAATGAGTTGGATGGATTAAAATGAATAACAATGATGCACCGATTGAATAGCAGTGATGCACTAAGTAAATAATAGTGATGCACCGTACCGAGTGAACTTAGTTTAATTGAATGATTTAGTAGTATTGATAATGGAATTTTTATTAACCATTAAGAAACTCACACAACATTGATTTATAATTCAATTTTATTATTTTAAAATCATAATTGTTTATTTTATATATGCAATATTGGTGTCATATAAAATATTATAAAAATGTATAAACTTTGATACATTTCTTATAATAATTGGAGTACAAAAAAAGGAAAAAATTTATACTCCCCTTTCTTAAAATAAATTGGCGTGATTAAAGTGAATAACATTGATGCACCAAGTAAATAGTAGTGAAGCACAAATTGAACTTGAATTACTTAAATGTTTTGGTAGTAGTGATAATAGAATTTTGATTAACTAATAAGAAACTGACACGTTATTGGTTTATAACTCAATTATATTCTTACCTCCGTCCCCCTAATATTAGGACAGAAGAGAGTGATGTGATTTTTAATAAAAGTTGAATTATGCGGTTCATAATGAGTTGATAAAGTGAGAATAAAGTAAAAATTAAATGAATTAGAGTTACACAAATGTTATCAAATATGATATGAGACAATAATAGGAAGACATCCAAAAATGGAAAAAAGGGACAATTATAGGGGGACGGAGGGAGTATATAATTAAAAATAATATTATTTTTATTTTATATATGCAGTATTGATGGCATATGAAAGATCATGAGAATTTATGAACTTTAATTTAATTTTTGTAAAGTTTGGAATACAAATAAAAAAGTTATAACACTTTAAAAATAGATTCTCTTTCCCTTCACTTTCTCCAAATGAGTTGGTGTGATTAATATGAATAGCACTGATGCACATGGTGAATAGCAAAGATGCACCGAGTGAACTTGCATTAATTAAATGTTTTAGTAGTAATCAAAATAAAATTATTATTAACAAATAAGAGACTACACATCATTTATTTTTAACTCAATTTTATTGTATAAAATAATGTTTTTATTTTTATATATGCAATATCGATGTCATATGAAAGATTCATTAAAATTATAAATTTTGATATATGTTTTTGTAAAAGTTGGAGTACAAATAAATAAGTTATAATACATTAAAAAGTTTTTTTCCCCATTCCCTTTGTCCAAATGAGCAATGATGCATGTAGTGAATAGCAACAATGAACCGCGTCAACTTATATGAATTAAATATTTTAGTAGTAGTGATAATAATTTTTTTTATTAGTCAGTAGAATTTTTTACTTTGTTTTGCTATATAAAATAACAAATATTTTTTTACTTATATATATATATATATATTGATGTCATATGAAATATAAAAAAAATGAATTTTGATATTTTTTTGTAAAATTTTGATAATATATATAAAAGTTATCTCACTATAAAAAAGGAGATTTTTTCTCTTTGCTCCAAATCGGCCTTGATGCGTGATTTTAGGAGGAATAGTAGTCATAACCGTGAATTAGTGATAATGATAATAGAATTTGCATTAGCCCAGACCGACACAATTGATTTTTAACTCAAATATGCTTTTTAAAATTGTAGATAGACATATAATTAAATTAGACTAGACTAAAAAGACATAAAAGTTTCTAAAATGCACACAGACCAACGATTTATCAAATCAAATCATACCATGCATGCATATTGCCTAAACATAAAACAGTAAATGCTGAGGAATGATTTAGAAAGTATTATAAAATAACTAAGAAAATATTACTAAATGGTGATCGAACTAAATATTACGTAGTATAAAATACCTAAAACAATATTACTTGGAGAGCTAAATGGTGAGGAATGATTTAAGAAATACTGTATTAATTAAAAAAAGGTTAATGCAAGATGGTAGATTTAAAGTTATGCAAACTCTTATATTGTTGATTCTCTCTCAACCGATATGATTTCCTAAATAAATAAGTCAGCATCTAGATGTTTTTTTTTGTGGTGATTGTTAATTTATAGAAATTCTTTTTTCTTTTCATTTAAAACAAACAATTTTGCATAGAGTAGATACTAAATTCATTTTGATGGATTACTATTTGTCTCTTGTTCATTTTTTGTACTCCCTCCGTTCTTTATTATTAGTCCCTCTAGGCTTTGGCACGAGTTTTAAGAGGAAAGTAGTATGGTAAGTATAGAGTGTGTAGGGTAAATGTTAAAGTAGGAAAGACAGTATATTAAAAAGAGTAAAGTAATGATAAAGTAGGAAATAAAGTGTATTAAGAAGAGTAAAGTGATGGTAAATTAGGAAAGAGAAAGTAGTTTGTAAAAAGTAAGTGGGGTAAAAGTAATAAAAGTGAAGGTATTTTCTCAAAAACTTTTATTAAATGGAAAAAGGGCAAATAAAAAAACGTCCAAAAAGGAAAGAAGGACTAATAATAAAGAACGGAGGGATTCATGTCACCTATTTAGTAGGCGTTAAGTTTTTTATAATATCCGAATCCAATTTTCACATAGATGAATGTATATATACAAAATAACACAAAGCTAGCTACAATGAAAAGATATACCAATAACCCCGCTTGTTAAAGAAAGAGAGAGTTTAGTTTGCAGGATAATCATCGGTCTACAAAAAGCTGAGTCAATTATTTTTTAAATAGGAAAATGTTTATAATAATTAATATGAAATGATACTCCGTATAAATTAAAAACGCATGTCCTTTGTTAAAATGATTTTAATAAATGTATAAATAAAGTGGGAGACATTGACTAGCACGTAGAAATTAAAGGCGAGAGATAAAAAAGTGGTGGCAAAGTAGTTATAAAAAAAAGTGGGGTGTAATTTTTATTTATGCAATAAATTAAAGTGGTGGGAGAGTTTATTTTTTTTGATAAATAAACAGAAGAGGCGGGCGCGGAGGGACATTAGTAGGTATATATTTTGATGGCAATGAGAGCGTAGATCGAAGAGAGAGAGAGAGAATAAATAAAATGGGTAAAGGTAGTAGCAGCAGTGGATGTTGTTGTGGATTGAAGGCATGCTTATTGTTCATTGTGTTTGCAGCGGATGTAGTCGCATGGTTTTTTGGTCAGATGGCAGAGAATAGTCAAGATGAAGTAAGTATCCTATCGTGTGTGTGTGTATATATATACAGTTCGTTCATTCATTGGATCATAAATACGTATAATGTATGATGATAGGTGAAGAGCGTGGGTGTATTTGGGGTAGAGTGTACGAAGAGGAGCAACGGGAGAGCGTCTGTGCTGGGGTCATTAGCAGCGCACTCAGTGGGAGTCGCTCATTTGGTCGCCCTATTCCTCGGACGCTGCGCCTGGCTCACGGGTCTTCCGGAATATTGTTGCAGGTCCGGCCGCTGCCCGCCGGGAAATCCACTGTCCTTTTTAGCGTGGGTCCTAATGTGGTACGTATGTAATGGATCACGCATCCATCCATATATATATATATATATATATACTGACTAGCTAGCTTATTAGCTAATGATCGATTATTAATCAATCAATGAATTCCATGCATCTGGGTGCACGCGCGCAGGGTTTGTTTTGGGGCAGCAGAGTTGGTGCTGGTGAGGGGAGCGAATGAGAACAAAAAGTCGTCCGGGATTTCGTGTCACATCTCTACCGATGGGTGGCTCAAGGTGGGAGCATGGTTGGCCGTTGCCCACTTCGTCTGCGCATGGGCCTTCCATTTATTTGCCGAACAAGCCTTCTCTGCTGAATATTACCCCGACGCCAAACCCTCCAAATCCACTGCCCCACCCGCTGAATATTACCCCGACGCCAAATCCTCCAAATCCACTGCCGCACCAGCTTAATATATTCATCCCCCACACTCCATCTTATGTTTCTTCATTATATTATGCAATACTACTCTCGTTACTTATGTCGTATGTATACACCAATTCAATTCCAACTACATATATACGTGCCTACTCCATCTTTATAATAAATATAATAAATACATCACACATCTCATGTGAAATGCCAAATGTAGATGCATTACAACCACAGATAGAGAGGGATATATTGCGATTGAGGTCGTTTTTGTTGGCATTAGTTAATCTTAATTCTAGCAACAATTAATTAATAACATTAATTATTAAATGAAGTCACATGGGAAGTTGGATATCTAGGGAAACTGAAAGGTTGTCTAGAGAATTAGAGAAACTTCTAGAAAATTAGTATTAATTATCATGTTTTTTTTAATGCCTATATAAAGGGCCACCATTGTACAATTTTCAGGGGTTGAAGTCAGTGGCGGAGCCACTCATGTTCAAAGTGGTTCTCATGAACACCCAAATGTTTTAAAAATATGCAGGTATATATATGTAAATTAGGTAGAATTATTTATTGCTCTTTAAATTTGTAGTTGTAAAAAAGCATTGAACACCCAATACTCAAATTCCAAATCCGCCACTGGTTGAAGTGGATGAAGCAAATTATATTCTCCTTCATAATACTTTCGGTATTGTGTGTGTGTGTGTGTAACCTCTTCCGAGTTATATTCCGATCTTGTGCCAACAAATTGGTATCAGAGCCACATGTTCGTGAAGTGAACGAAGAAAAATGGCAGCCACTATGTTCGGTCAACTTCCTCAGTTGACAAAGACAAATTTTGATCGATGGAATGCCCAAATGAAAGCATTGTTTAAATCACAAGGTGTATGGGACATCGTAGAGAACGGATATACTGTGCCGGAAGAAGGGACTGTGTTAACAGTCGCCCAACAAACAGAGTTAGAAGGAGCTCAAAAGAAGGACCAGACAGCACTATTCTGGTTACTTCAAGCCGTTGATGACTCCATCCATGATCGAGAAAATAGCCGATTGCGCTACTTCCAAAGAAGCGTGGGAGACCATAGAAAAGGTGTTCAAGGGTGGCGAACGAGTGAAGCAAATAAAGCTCCAAACTCTTCGTGGAGAACTAGAGTCAATGCGGATGAAGGAGACCGAGATGGTGGAGGAATACATCAATAGAGTGATGGCCGTGGCAGCCCAAATGAAAAGGAATGGGGAAGCAGTAGGTGAAAGTCGAATAGTTGAGAAGATTCTACGAACGCTCACTGAAAAATTTGAGAGTGTCGTGTGCGCAATAGAGGAGGTCAGATCTCTCAAGGATTTGACGCTAGAAGAACTCTCAGGATCATTAAAAGCATATGAGAAAAGAAAGATGAAACAGGAGGAATCGCTTGAGGAAGCCCTGCAAGCAAAGACCACCATAGAGGAAGAAGAAGCTATGTACGTCCAACATCCACATGACCGAGAGCGAGGGCAAATACGTGGCCGAGGACGAGGACGAGGTCGAGGCCGAGCAGGAGGCAGAGGTGGTCGTGGTAACCGACCAGATGTAGAATGTTACAATTGTGGCAAATATGGACATTTTGCAAGAGACTGCTGGTCAAATAAGAGGCCCGCTGGGAATGTTAATGTGGCTGAGCATGAAGATGGAAAAGAAGAAGGAGTGTTGCTGATGACGCATAAAGAAGGAGACTCGGTAAATGATACAACCTGGTATCTTGACACCGGGGCGAGTAATCATATGACCGGGCACAAGCATTTATTCACCGAGATTGAAGAGATTGATGGAGGAAGTGTTTCTTTTGGAGATGCTTCAAGAGTTGAAGTCACAGGCCGAGGGAAGATCCGATTCTTACAAAAAAAATGGACAAGAAGGAACGATCGAGGACGTATACTATGTCCCGGACATGAAGACAAATATTATAAGTATGGGGCAATTAATGGAGAAAGGGTACTATGCCGACCTAAGAGGTCGATATTTACATTTGAAGGATCGAAGAGGTCGAGTTGTTGCTCGAGTGGAGATGGCTAGAAACAGAATGTACAAGTTAGATCTGAGGAGCGTAAACCATAAGTGCTTGAAGGTCGACCTGACGGACAAGTCACTCTTATGGCATATACGCTTTGGTCATTTAAATTTTGGTGGTTTGGCCGAGCTGAGCAAAAAGGGGATGGTGCATGGATTACCGAGATGGATTTTCCAAAACAATTTTGTGAGGGATGTGTGCTCGGGAAGCATGCTCGGAAGAGTTTCCCAAGGAAGACGAAGTATCGAGCAAAGGGACCATTGGAGACTGTTCATACAGATATATGTGGGCCGATCACACCATCATCGTTTAGTGGTCGAAGATACTTCATGACATTCGTGGACGACTACACAAGGAAGACCTGGGTATATTTTCTAAAAGAAAAGTCGGAGGCTTTTAACACATTCAAAAAATTCAAGGCCGAGGTTGAAAGGACGACCGGACTCAAAATAAAGGCTTTGAGGTCGGACCGTGGAGGAGAGTATACATCAGACCCATTCAAAAGGTTCTGTGAAGAAAGAGGAATTAGAAGATTCATGATCGCCCCCCTATTCGCCACAGCAAAACGGGGTGGCCGAGCGGAAGAATCGGAGCATATTGGATATGGTGAGATACATGCTGAAAAGCAAAGATATGCCAAAGGAGTTTTGGGCCGAGGCGGTACGGTGTGTTGTCTATGTGCAGAATAGGTGTCCACATTCAAATCTGGAAGACCTAACACCTCAAGAAGCATGGAGTGGTCAAAAGCCGACCGTGTCACACTTGAGGGTGTTCAGAAGTGTATCTTATGCGCATGTACCTGACCAAAGGCGTATGAAACTCGAAGACAAGAGTAAGAAACTGGTGTTCATAGGTTATGACGAGAAGAAAAAGGGTTATAGGTTGTATGACCCTGTTGAGAAGAAGATAATTGTCAGTAGAGATGTGGAGGTGAATGAGGCAAGTAGTTGGGATTGGAACAGAGAAAAGGAGCATGAGGATGAGGAAACACCGGCCGACCTCACTATACCAATGCCGATGGTCTCACCACCAAAGCCGACCGATCCTCCATCCAGACCGACCTCAGATGATGAGGAAGAAGAAGAAGAAGAAGAAGAAGAAGAAGAAGGGCCAAATTAGCGGAAGTATAGAAACTTGCAGGAGATATATGAGACGACCCCAGAGATACACATGGTGTGTCTATTGGCATACGGGGAGAATATTACTTTCGAGGAGGCCGTCAAAGATGACAAGTGGAGATGCGCCATGGATGAAGAAATCAAGTCGATTGAGAAAAATCAAACTTGGGAGCTGGCCGACCTCCCGAGAGGTCACAAGCCGATCGGAGTCAAGTGGGTTTACAAGAAGAAGTGTAATGCTGAGGGCATGGTCGTACGATACAAAGCTCGGCTGGTTGCAAAGGGCTATAGACAGAAGGCTGGAATAGGCTATGATGAAGTGTTCGCACCAGTAGCTCGGATGGATACAATTCAATTGTTGACTGCACAGGCAGCCCAGATGAAGTGGCCGATATACCAAATGGATGTAAAATCAGCATTCCTGAATGGAACTTTGGAGGAAGAAGTTTATGTCGAACAGCCGCCCGGCTATGTTCAGGTCGGACAACAAAAAAAGGTGTTGAAATTGAAGAAAGCTTTATATGGGCTAAAGCAGGCACCGAGGGCATGGAACACTCGGATTGACACATACTTCAAACAAAATGGATTTGTGCAATGTCCATATGAGCATGCTTTATATGTGAAGAAAAGTGAGATTGGAGTTCTGTTCGTCGCACTTTACGTGGACGATCTAATATTCATGGGAAGCAATCACAAGATGGTGATGAAATTCAAAGAAGAAAGGAAGAAAGAATTCGAAATGACCGATTTGGTCCTAATGAAATATTTTTTAGGACTGGAGGTGAAGCAAGCTGGGGCCGGGATTTTTATCTGTCAGGAAGCCTATGCTAAGGAGATCTTGAAGAGGTTCAATATGGAAGAGTGCAAGCCAGTCAGAACACTAATGGAGACCGGAACCAAACTTTCCAAATTTGGGGGAGGAAATCGAGTCGAAGCAGGACTGTACAGAAGCCTGGTCGGGTGCCTGAGATATCTGACTTGTACAAGACCAGACATAGCATACAGCGTTGAAGTGATCAGTCGTTTTATGGAAGAGCCTTGTCAATCACATTGGAAGGCGACAAAAAGAATTTTGAGATATATTCAAGGGACGAAGTCGCTCGGACTTCTGTACAAGAGGTTTGACGAGTTCAAACTGGTCGGATATTCTGACAGTGATTGGTGCGGGGATATTTATGATCGAAAAAGTACAACAGGCTACGTCTTTAGCCTGGGGAGCACGGCGTTTACATGGTTATCGAAGAAGCAGGCGATTGTGACACTCTCGACGTGTGAAGCCGAGTACGTAGCTGCATCTTATTGTGTGAGGCATGCCATTTGGTTGAGGAAAATGTTGACCGAGCTCGAGATCGGAGAGACGAAGCCGACTCCGATTTTTATGGACAACAAATCAGCAATTGAGCTAGCTAAGAACCCAGTACACCACGAAAGGAGCAAGCATATAGATGTAAGATTTCACTTCATCAGGGAACAAGTAAAGACTAAGGAGGTCATGCTGACTCATGTGGCAAGCTGGGATCAAGCAGCAGATATATTTACGAAGGCGTTACCGATCGCATTATTTGAACATTGCAAAACAGCGCTCGGATTAAGAGATGGAAGAGAATTAAGATTAGGGGAGGAATTTGTTGGGATTAGTTAATCTTAATTCTAGCAACAAATAATTAATAACATTAATTATTAAATGAAGTCACATGGGAAGTTGGATATCTAGGAAAACTGAAAGGTTGTCTAGGGGAATTAAAAGGCATCCCTATAGAATTAGAGAAACTTCTAGAAAATTAGTATTAATTATCATGTTTTTTTAATGCCTATATAAAGGGCCACCATTGTACAATTTTCAGGGGTTGAAGTGGATGAAGCAAATTATATTCTCCTTCATAATACTTTCGGTATTGTGTGTGTGTGTGTAACCTCTTCCGAGTTATATTCCGATTAATCTTGGGCCAACATTTTTGCTCTATAAAGAAATAGGGGTAGACATATGGTTTGATTTAATTACCCACCTACCCCATATAGTAGAGGGAAGATAAGGCACAAACCAATATACTCTACATA